AAACCCAGCTGAAGGCCTAGGACTGGGGCGATGGTGCGCGTGCCCACAGAGAGGGCTCTGTGTGCCACCTGTGGCACGCATGCCATAGGTTCGCCACCATGGGTCTAGCTAATTCATGTTTTTTCTTTATGAAGAAAGAAAGAAAAAAATTCTTCTTGCCTCTTTCTGCACAGAGAAATTAGTGATTATCATAGGATGGTGCTTTTGGAGGACACTAGGGACTCTTTGCATTAGTCTCACCCATGACATCAGTCAGCCAACCTAAGCAACTGGAGGCTGATCTGACTTCTCCACCAGGTATGGTTCCCTTCTCTCATATATTTTGACTAGCACAATAACTAAAATAACATATACACTTAAGCTTCATTCAGCAAGAAAAACTGGGCTTGGTTTTATGCAACAGTATTTTAAGCAACAATATTGAAAAAAAAAACAAGAAAACAGGCAATATTAAAAATGGAAGATTTCATTTTCAAAACTCAAAATTTAAAAATCCCTTGTGATCCAAAGAAGTTAAGACATCAGATAAACTTCAGAATAACTTTTATAAATCAGGCATTAAGCGTTACTAGATATTGATATTGATAATTATTTTTAAAATTAAGCATGGGCAGAAGGCGTTGAATCACTTCTAGAAAACTATATAGACATGTCTAGGTTGTCTCCAGCAGTCAATATGGACATGAAAGAGCTTTGCCTTTTTGTGGGCTGGAGTCTTTGAGGCTGGTAGTATCTGTTGATGCTGTACTCACAATAAATATAATTGTTCAAAAAAATACCTATAACATTATTGGAAACAGAAATATCAGAATGCTGTCTTTCACTATCAACTTGGATAACCTATTCAGAATTCCTCGCTCTCCCCTCCCTCTCTCTTTCTGTTCACTTGTTAATAGTTTAACTAGTGCATTTTGCACAATACATTTTTCAAATATAATCCCATGTAGATCATATTGGAATATTCAAGACAGGAAAGTAACCGAGACATGGACATATACTGACACCATATTAGACTAGTACAGGAAGAGTTGAAATTGTCTACTGGTCATAATTGTACAAATGCCATATCAGGCATGTTTTAATCCAGTGATAGCTGATGATATAAGACCATGGTGGCAAACCTATGGCACGCGTGCCACAGGTGGCATGCAGAGCCGTCCCTGTGGGCACACGCGCCATCGTCCCAGAGGGACGCGGGGCCAGGCTGCTCCCCTCCCTCTCTCCATGTGCACCAGTGCTTCCACTCTCTTTCTCTGCACCAGGAGTCAGGGAGCAGCTGCAAGAACTGGGCGGGGAGAGGTGAGAAGCCAGAAGCATCGCAGAGAAAATGGTGTCGAGATGAGCTCAAGGGCCAGGGAAGGAATGGAGAAAAAGATCACTCTTGCCATCATCTCCCTTCTGCTGGCCACTGGGAAGCCTGGCAGCATGGCTTGGCCTGGCTATACCAGGAAATTCCAGCGCCCCGGACTTGCAAGTGAGTTTCGGCACTCCCCAGGTTTTAGTGCAGCAACGGGATGAAACTCAGCAAAGCATTGAGTTCTCTTTGCGCAGGTTTGTGGTGCTTTTGTGAGAATGGCTGCTCCCCTCTGCCTTCCCATCTCCCCTTAGCTAAGGGACGCTTTGGCATGAGCAGCTGGGGAAGGGGAAGCCTGGCTTCTTTCAGGAGGCCAAATTAAGCACACGTTGGAAGGGGAACCTCTGAGTTGGGGGCAGCCAAAGTTTGCCCTCCAGCTTGGGAGAGGAGCGCTTTCCTTTCTGCATGGAGTGACTCCTGCCTCCCACAGTAAAACTCTGCAGGGGTGAGAATCGCGGAGTTTAGGCAGTGAATAAAATGTGCAAGATGATCAAAAGCCCTTCTTAAGATTTTAGGGGGGGCAGTGGAGGGGAGGAAGGCGGTGTGGAAAGTTTGGGCAGGGCGATCTGTGTGGGGGGTGGAGGAAGAATGGCAGCAGCAGGGCAATCTGTGCGGCAGATGGGGGGAATGGTGGTGACAGCAGGATGATCTGTGCAGCAGGTGGGGAGGGGGAACCTGCCCCACTTCTTCCACAGCCGCTTTTGACCGAGCCGCATTACAGGAGCATTGGGCGCAATACGCAAGGCGGCAAACAGCTGAGTCACGCTGAAACCGGCCATTTGCTACCTCCTGCCCAATGCTGCTACCATGAGGCCGCGGAATAAGCCGGGTGGCAGTAAGAAACCGGTATACCAGTTCCTTACCTCCGCCCAGCTTGTTCCATGGCCTCATGGCAGTGGCATTGGGCAGGAGGCGGCAAATGGCCGCTGCCAGAGGCAAATAGACACATCGCACCGAAACTGGCCATTTGCCGCCTCCTGCCCAATGCCGCTGCCATGAGACCGTAGAACAAACCTGGTGATGGTAAGAAACCGGTATACTGGTTCCTTACCTCCACCTGGCTTGTTCCGCGGCCTCATGGCAGTAGCATTGGATGCGATGCGTGAGGTGGCAAATGGCTGTGAATGGAGGCAAACAGCCACGTCATGCCGAAACTGGCTGTTTGCCACCTCCTGTCCAGTGCCACTGCCATGAAGTGTCCCTCTGGCTCCTGGGAGTTGTGCTGGTATCCTTTGTGCTGGGAATCCTTTGCGGTGAGTTTCTGGAAAGATTTGCGATGGGGGTGGGTGCGACACATGAGGTAGCAAGCGGCCACGGCCAGAGGCAAATAGCCATGTCATGCTGAAACCAGCTGTTTGCCGTCTCATGTCCAGTGCCGCTGCCATGAGGCTGTGGAACAAGCTGGGTGGCAGTAAGAAACCAGTATACCTGTTCCTTACCTCTGCCCGGCTTGTTCCACGGCCTCATGGCAGCTGCATTGGGTGTGACACGCAAGGTGGCAAACAGCCATGTTGCGCTGAAACCAAGGGGCCGGCAGGCTGTGGCTGCTGATGAACACAGCCCCCATCCGCTCGCTGTGTGCGGGGGCCAATGGTGTCAGGCAGCAGACGGCCCGGCCCCTGCCTCGCAGCAATGGCACCCCTGCCCTGCCCCACCTCACCCCTCAAGACGAGCCTCCTGCCCACTGTCTCACCTGCCAGAGACCCCCTGGATCTTCCCCAAACCTGCCTGGCCCCCACAGGTGTCCCTCCCGAGCAACATCAAGGTGGCCACGCCCACTCAGTCTGCCATGACCACCACAGCCATGCCAACCCAATGGGCCACGCCCACCCAATTAGCCACACCCACCCAATGGGCCACACCCGGCTGGCACCCGACGATACATAAGTGGGTTTTGTGTTGCAGTTTGGGCACTCGGTCTTTCAAAGGTTTGCCATCACTGATATAAGAACACTGCCAGGTAATGGTTCTTTTTCATGGTGACAGGATGCTAGAATACTGATAGTTTCTTTGGCAATGGATGAGTTAGTAAATAGAATCATCATGCCAATGGAATTTCATATTGCATGAATAATGTTATGTAGCTATGAATGGCATGGGGGGATGAGATGGAATCTTGTAGATCCAGGTGTCAAACAGAGTCCCCCAGCATCACTTTCTGGAGTGGTTCAGCAAAGATCACTATCACTTCAATCCAAAGTCCCAAATCTAATCCCATCACATGATCTAGAAGGCACTGAAACAAACTAGTATAACCAGGAAAACAAGCGGAATTCTGCCCCTTCCACTCTGTAGTGTAGTTAATTAAAGCTAGCATCATAGCACAGCAGAACAGAAATAGGCCAGATAATCAATATTAGTCAAATGTGTCTAGTGCATCCTTCTTAAGAATGTAATATTTAAGTTTGGTTTAGAATTGCACAGAATTAACCAGCTAAGGGAGAGTTGCTTGGTTATATGTCTTTTAACTGTTTGTTTTAGGCATTCATAGGAATCAAGAAAACCCTATCAATTCCCTTAACTATGATAAGGTTAGTAACTGATAATCATAAGAAAGAAGTGACCAAAAACCAGGCTGTAATTTTTACACATGTTCAAACTGTGAAAAAAAATAACCCCAAATGAGAGGACAAGCAATTTCTAAAGTTGCCTTGCTAGAAACAGACCCCAACACTGGCATCCGACTGAAGTGTGGCTTTGATTTTTTTATGTGCAAAGAATTATGTGTGCTGCTCAAAATAAGCCACCAATTGCTTTTGCTCCCTTCTCATCACATCTGAGTGATTGAGATGTATTACCATATAGAAGAAACATGCTGGCCTGCTTTGTGTGGCTATATGAAGGCAAACAAGCCTTCTCTCTTGCTCTCATTATCATGGAAAAGGACTTCAGTTGGGAGTTAATCCCTGCTTGATCTTGAGAATTTTCTAAATCAAAGGAAATGTTACTATTGTGGTTTCTGCTATTATTATACATTAGCCAGGGAGGCCATAAAATTGTGCTTGTATTTGAGTTTTACAGATTGGAAGTGAACTTATTCAACCATTTTTGCTGCTTGGTTTGAAAAGATGGTGGCATGTATTCAAATGACATTTTATGTGCTAATTATTTCACATTCAAATAATTTTTCTGGAACTATATACTGAACTTTTGTTTTAGTAAAGCTGAGTATTTCTTCCAAGAAAAATAATCCTGGCAGCAATTTGGAGGGAAAAGCCATCTGCATGAGGAAACCTGGTATATTTGGTTCTGTTCAACCAATTCAGCCATTTTATACTTTAAAGTTGGGCAGCACAACTTTGGTCAGGTACCATCTTTGAAGGACACATTCTTTGAGGTGTGATTGCTGTTTTTAATGTACTGCATTACAGTATTTGGTCTAGGTCCAGCCATCTATTTTTTCTCCCTTTCTCTGGTTTTGTCTCCTCCTCCTCCCGCTCCTCACGGTGGCCTCCCCTCCCCTCTTGTTGCCTCCGGTTTCTTTCCAACCCAGGGCAAAAGATTTTTCTTTCTTTCTTTTTTAACGCAGGTTACATATCGCGGATAGGCATCTCCTAGCGTTTCCATTCTCTTGCCGGCTGTTCTCTTTCGTCATATCATTACGGAGGCAAAACGCATAAACCTCTCGGAGGCTTTCTCTTTCTCCTTTTCTCTCTCTTGTGTCGGTGTGATCTCCCAACGTGCACGATCTGGTTTCAGCCCAGCCGAAAGGCGCGCTGGGTTATACACTTTTCCGAGTGCCTTCTCTAACTCGGGTTCTCGCTGAACGCAGCGAAGTCTGCGGAGCCCCCACTTGCTTTGCGCTCGTAAAAGGAGCGTTCCCGCCGGCCCGCCCACCGACCCACTGTTCCTGCTCTCTCCTAGCATTTCAAGCGCTTCTCTTTCCACTCCCTCCACTTTTGCTCAAAACAAAAAAGTCAGCAGCTCCATCTTCCTGCATTTCCATCCATGCGCTAAATTGTAAAAAGGGGAGATTTCCCCCTCCGCCTCCTTCTGCTGCCGCCACCGCCAGCACCAGCCTCACTGGCCGGCACTGCTGCTGCCGCCGCCGCCGCCACCACCATCATCATCATCTCCCTCCTCCTCTGCTTCTCCTCCTCCTCCTCCTCCCTTTCTCCTCTCCTTTTGGCAGCACCAGGACGTCCGGCGTGGTGGTGATAGAGATAGCGGTGCTGCCGGTCCTGCCGTGGGGTTGCAAGCGGACGGGGTCGCCTTTAAATCCTCCCGTTTTTCCAAGGTGCCTAACAGAGCGTGAGCGATCCGAGAGCCTGCCGAGAAGCTGAAAGGCAGCGAGGAGTCACGATGAGCGCACGAGGTGACGGAGCCGGGCAGCCTTCGACTTCTTCCGCGGCTTCCAAGGAACAACCTGCCACCGCCGAACCGCCGAAGAGGGGACGAGGGAGACCCAGGAAACAGCCCCAAGTCAGTAATTTCTCTAGCTAATCTAGACTAGAGCAGAGATATGTGAGAATTGGGCGCGCACGTGCCTTGCAAGCTTCTCAGCATTGGCGGTGTGTGTTGGTAGATGTAAAAGTGTTGTGGCGGCCACAACGGGTTTCTTTGCTCTCTAGCAATTGTAACGAAGTGGGTCAGAGCTGCAAATCCCACTGGCAAGAGGAAGGAGCGGAATGTGTTTGTGTGTGTGCACGCGCGCGCATGAAAGAGGGAGAAATGTGCGAGCGAGAGCGCGCGCGTTTGTTTCTTTTGAACTGGCGAAAACTTATCTTTGCCTTTATTGTGTGGTTTTACTCTGTAACGCGGAGCGGCTCCGGTCCCACCAACCAGCGCTCAAGGGCTAGTTTCGAGCAAAGTTTAAATCTGAGCCTGTGAGCGGACTGAAAAGAAGAATGGGAGTCAGGGCTGTCTTCGCTACGTCTCAATCTTTGTGCCATGTGTCTTCTAGCTGGTCTCGCAGTGGCTGCCGCCGCCTCTGGTACCATCCGACTTCACCCCCTCCCATCGTGGCCGGGAGGGGGGGGTCAGACTCCCCAAATGTGTGATTCAAAGGGTGAATCATTGTTGGCTGCGTGTTTACTTTGCATTTTGTAGGTTTGACTTCCTCGAGGCTTAGTCTGGTCCCCCTCCCCTCCAGGAAACTGATTACTCTGTGTGAGAAATAGTGCTTCGTGGTTTAGGGCTATGTGAGTGCTCGTTGGACATTTGAGTCCTGGGCATTCCCTTTTTTTTCCACGAGGTGAAATCCATAACTACTATGCGCTACATTTGGCAAAGTAAACAGGCTACGGGGATACCCGAGTTGTCCTTCAAGTCATGTGGAGAGAGAGATTCTCTGCGGATGCAACCAATTAAGGTTGCCGTTGTAACGCTGCCCAGCAGCATGGAGAACTTTTTCTGTTGTTGTTTGGATTGGTTTCCATTTCCTCCGAGGCAGCTATCAGCAATAGGAGTTGCCTACTAAGTGCATTTAAAGCTGACTTCCGCGGCATAATTTTTTTTTCATTCATTAGCATCAAACCACTTCCTTTAGAGCAAATCAGATGGTCGGCAAACTGATCTGAAACCTGAAATGTAAAATACCTCAAAGTGGGGGGGTTCCCTTAAATTTGCGACGCTGTTGGGAGTGATCATTAGCTAGAACCTCACACTTACTCTATTTTTCTTTTCATATCCCCAACAGTAAAGCAATAAATATACGAAAGGAGGGTATAAACAAACACACACACACATTCCTTGTATTATGTTTGTTAAACTATCATTTCAGTGTTCCCCTCCCCCAGGCGTAGCAAAATTTCCCATCACCAGTACCAGTTTATTTTTAAAAGTGTGTGGTATTGGAAGATTCTGGTTTGAAAATGGGATATTTTATGAAATACAGTGTACTCAGAAAAAAATGCTTCTCTCCCAGTCAATGCTGAACATTATAGCTATCTGGCTTGATTTTTTAAATTATGTCAGTTATACAGCAGTGCAGTAAAATTCTATGCATGCTTGCCCAGAAGTAAGCCTCACTAAACACTGGGTTTTAGTCCCAGGTAAGTGTGTATAGGGTTACAGACTTAATTTCTTTTGCAACCTAAAGAATGTACCAGAGTTTTAAGACCATTCACAACTGCACTTAATTAGTTGAATTTCATCCTGTAATCTAAATAAAATGTTCGATATTTGAAAGTGGATGTTTTCTTTCTTTTAGTCTATATGATTCATTAAATAAACATTTGAATTCTGAAAACGGGAATCCTACATATTTAAACAAGTCTTCTGTTTATGATCAAACAGAAACTATTGGGGAACAAAATATCTGAACAAAAACTGATTTGATATACTCTGAATCTTAGTCATACTATAAACTTTAAATTGTTTTCTCATCAGGCCAGAACATGCAGAGCCCCCACATACTGTACAATATATAGATTCCATTAAGCTAGACAAAATGGATTGTAAACTACAGAACAAAGCAAAGCTCATTTTGGTAACTTTCATAACGAGAGAAAAAAATATCCCTTAAAGGTTCTTTAAGGTTGGAATCCCAGTCTCAAGTGATTACAAATGTATATTTAATAAACAATTATCAAGTGAGTGGGAAGAACCTCCACTGATTAGAATGACAAAACATAATCTTCTTAGGTGTATTCGGTTGGGAAAAATGTATCTGATATACTTTTTCATTGTTTTTCCATGGAGCTCAAGCTGCTAGGGAGAAACATTTTAATTACTGCAGATAAACATATACTGTTATTTCCCATGTTTAACATTCTCTTTCACTGTAAATTTGAGTCACTTGTTGACTTTAAGTTCTGTTGCTTGTATTTAGATTTGTGTTGAGTTTTTTTGGGACAACAGTGTGTTTTCTGTTTTTAGGAACCTACAGGAGAGCCATCTCCCAAAAGACCAAGAGGAAGACCTAAAGGAAGCAAAAACAAGAGTCCCTCTAAAGCAGCTCAGAAGGTAAGAGTAGTCCAGAACAAAAGATTTGCTTTCATTACCTCCTATTTTTTAGTTATTGTCTAAACAGTTTCACATTTAATCTTTGCACTGTGTGGGGTTTGGGCCATTTTAATAATATTTCAGGCAGGAATGTTAGAGGAGTTTCTTGGACATATGAGAAGCAATCCTCCCTCACCCCCCCCCATAGCTTCTACATATGTTTAGTTTACAAATTCAGGATTTCACTATATATGAACCCTGTTTACTACTATTAAATAAATTCTACTATTGTTAGTATCTAACATTAAATGTTCATATTCTGAAAAAAATTAATATACCTAGGCAAATTATTACTCTAATGTTTTGTTAACTATATAGTTAGGTATAAGCTCAGTAATACATTGATGGGTATCAGGATATATGTTTATACACTGATCATCCTTATTATCATCCTCATCAGACATCAGGGTTGAATACCAGACTATCCTCTATATTCCTTGCTTGAGTTAGGAAGTATATTTTGGGGAGGGGAGAAACACCACATTTTGAACAATTGTTGCATTCTGAATGTTGTCAAGGGAAGGAAGCATGAATTGACTAGTTCATTGAAGTAATCCACTTTGTCTCAAAACATTTTTTTTTATTTAACAGGTTCCAAACCATAATACCACATAATACCAAAGAAAAAAAACTGTTTTTATTTTAAAAAATCATGGACAAATGCATAGTATAGTGGTTTGCTTTTTACAGTTTCTTTATAAGATACTGCTGACCTCAATTTTAAGTAATTTTGAAACATCATGAATCATGTTTGGTAGACCAGTTGCTACCATCAATGGTTTTCATTTACAAATACATCAGAAACAAAAACACAAATACTGTTATTGTTATACAGATGTGATATTCTTCTTGTTTTAGCACTTTTTAATATATGCACACCAGTTTTGATATTGTTAATAATGTTGACATTACGAATTACCATAGCAACCTAGATAAATGCTTTTTTAAAATATAAGGACTGACAGTGTTTTTGTCTTTCTTTAATTTAGCTCCTTTGAGTTTCAGTACAGAAAACTTTATATTATTCTTTTGCATTTCCCCATCCCCTTTTCCTCCCCATTTTTGTAAATGGAATTTAAAATACCAAATATATTTCACTGGCACATCTATTTTAAAAAAGAATATTGTAGAAAAAGTGCAGACAAACACAACAAAAATAATCTGTAACTTTAATCCCCCCCCCAAACGAGAGTCCAGGTAAGGTGATACAATAGGGTGATATAAAATTAAAGATGATACTAAGGAAATGAATAGGTTTTATACTGCTAAAAGTCATAATCCCACAGTCATCCAATAAAATGGATAGAAGGCAATATAAGACATGCAATGATTAGTCAGTGACATTTCTTGTAACAAAATGTAGTAGTGACTACTAACGGAAATAGCTTTAATGAAAAAATAAATCAGTCTTCTTTATTTCTTCCCAGAATTTCATGACCATTGTCTTGTAGGTTGGTAACAAATATTCCAAAATTTATGGAGGGAACCAGGTGGGAAAAGACTGAACTTACAAAAGGACACAGCTATCCATGGTGTAAATTACTTGATTTTTTTTTGTAAATCTGTAAAATGTAATTCCCCCCCCCCCGAAATTTAATGACAATTTCTGGAGGGTTTTCACATTCTGCTATAGGTTTTCCTTAGGCCCATAGCTGGCCACTGGGGAAACAGAAAATTGAACAATATAAGTATCTTGATGAACCATAATATCCTCAACTTATTACTGTAAAGGAGCCTGCCCATCATGGTTGTAATATGGGTCACCCACATGATCAACCCAATTTTATGACTTTTTTTGTGATGGTTTTTAAATAAGTGAATCAGTGATTTGTATGGGCTAGGTTTGCGAAAAACTGGAAGTAAATACCAGTTTGGGGCAAAACTGCTGTAAAATGTAGTAAAGTGATCTCAGGATGCTACAGTCGTAAAAGTAGGTCGGTCATCAAGCACCCAAAATATCACATAATTACTGGGGGGGGGGAACTGGCTTTCAGAACTTTGAAATCAGGTTGTAAGTATCCCTAGGGAGGTCTGCCATAACTTAAACAATCAGTAAGTAGTTGTAAGTCAAACTATCTCTAATGTATTTGATTTTGGTTCAGTGTGATATGTAAAATCATTCTCTATGATTTTGTAAATCGCTGATGACTTAGTGATATTTTTAACACCCCTATATAATAGTTTACTCAACAAATGCCAGTAATTTAAATAATAACATGATACGTAAACCCAATTAGTGAATCTGTTATTACTCCACATCACAAAACTTATACTTCTAGTCTTTATAATAAGCAGTTATCATGTTTATAGCAAGCAATATTTGAGATTTATAAATTTAGAAATTAATCAGCTCTCAGGATAATCCTAACTATTGATTCTATTAAATGCAGAACAAATAGGTTTAGGATTGTGCATATACATAAATGTTAATTAATGTATTTCTATGATTATTTTATAATACTAAGTTGATTTAGAAAGAACTAGGAGTTTAGAGATGTTTACAAAGGAATGGCTACACTTTTGTTCATAATTCAAAGATGTTATTTTTAAAATTGTTGATTGTTTTAATAATAGAATAATTTTACTCTGCAGATGTTACCTGTTTTGTGTTAAAAATATACCATTTACTAGATGCTATGGCTCTTTGAAGCACAGGAGTTGTATAATGGTTGTCACAGAAGAGGCAGCTTTACTTTCAACTTACAATGATTGAAAAAGATTGTATGCAAGAAGTTGTAAGTGGATTCTGCCAATAAATATCTAGATTTTCAAAAATCTTCTAAAATATATCTTTCAAAATATATTCTGCAATAATTATTGAATTTACAGTAGTGACTATTGGGTAAGTTTTTCTTTTGTGGGTTAAATATCTACTTAATAAAAGAACTATTTGCCTGTTTTTGAAGATTTATTTCTAAGAATGTTGAGGAATAGATAATTACTTTTATATATGCATGGTTCTCTATCCTAATTATCATCTATTTGGGAAATAGATCTGTTTTTATAAAAGTATATTTATATGAATTCAGTTTCTTTGCTCTAATGGAAAAACTATGTTTAAATAATTTATATTGTGCCTTTCTATTGTTAAAGCAGTTAATAAACAAATTTTAAAGTGTAACGGACAAATTATAAAGTATAGATGTATACAAAGATGTATAAATTATAGAAGTGCTTTATCTTTTTGGACCTTTAAAAATTATAACTCACTTTGGAATTTCAGTGTATACAAAGTAACAATGTGCACATTTGGTATATTGAATTCTTAGGAAAATATATTATTGTTAATTGTAACTGTATGCTTTTTATTGGTCTGAGTTATGGCTATTAAATAAGCTTAAAACACACATATATGTTTATTTCCAACCTAGATCTGAAAGCAGGAGTTGTCACTGCTAAAATTATTTTACCATAAAACTGGATTCTGTAGGTAATGAAATGTTGCCAAAATTTATGATAAATAGGTGGCTTCTTTCTCAAAGTAAAATAATTGAAATGTATTATAAGATAAATGTATACTTTTAGAATTCAGACAGGCAAATAAAGAAGCTCATGATTAATTGTGAACTCTTACACTTCATAATTAAAAATCTCTCTCTCTCTCTGTGTGTGTGTGTGTGTGTGTGTGTGTGTGTGTGTGTCTATATGATATATATATATGTGAATGATATGGATCTTTGTTATATTTTACAGAAAATTCCATTAAATCTATTGGGATTGTTCTGGAATGCTCAGTGATGTATATTTTAAATTTCTTGCTGCAGTTTTTTAAAGCTTACACAGCTTCTGGTAGACTTAGAAATCGGGCCTGGGAGGCATTTAAAACAAATTGAGCTTGTTAGGAAATTAGTAGTGTGAAACTTGACAATACAAAAATGCTGCAGGACCTAATGAGTAGTTTGTTTCATGTCTGCTGCACAAATTCCAGGGAATAACCCATAAAAACAGTAATATAAAACCCACAACTAAATGAATGTATAATTAAGAGGGCTTTCTAAAAGAACAGCAGCAGTATTAGCTCTTTTAAAGTTTTAAGTTCACGAAGGAATCAAATAAGAGGTAAAACAAGAAAGATGGGAAGCAGGATAACACTGTTCTAATTCAGATGTTTCTGTCACTGAACAAATTCTTATGTTGCTGTTCAAAAATGTAGTTTTTAAATATTTGAGGGAAATTGTTTAGCTTCTAAAACAAATATAGATATCTTATGGGTCATATTCTAGATTTTTAGATTTATAGTTCATATTCTTTGTGCTTGATAAAATACAGTTGATTTTTTTTAGAATGAAGATATACATTTGGGTATTGTGTTACAAATTGTTTTTTTTGGAAGTGAGCTCTCATAATTAACTGTCAAAAATTAAAACTGTTTTGAGAAAAAATGTGGAGATTACATATGTCTATTGTCTCTGAAATGTGTATGTGCCTTTTATTCATTAGTCAATTAAAATAAACAGCCTAAACTGTGAATATCACCAGCATATTATATTGTCTTTTCCATTCTTCAGTATCATCCACACTACCCACAACGAGGCATTGAAGAAGAAGCCTAATTTGCAAGCATAGATCACATCTGTATGTAGACTGCCATTTATTTATATTTGGGCCAGGAAAAGAAACCGATCCCCTCTTTTGTGGTTAAATTTACAAACATAGAGAGAAGGAAGATGCAGAGTTTTAGCTGCTCTCTCTCTTTTTTTTTAGAACAATGATTTCTCCACCCCCTAATAAAACACTTCTAGACCTGCTTTTGTTAGCATGTTTCTTTTAATTCCAAACGTGCCTGTAATTTATAGCTTTTGCCAGGATAAATCTTGAGGTGCTATACAATATTAATTCTTCCTCTGTTAGTTACTAAACAATACTTAATCTTGATATGCCCTTAAAAATGACATTGTACCATAGCTATGACCATGCTGGTAAATAGAAAATGGTGGACCCATAGAGTTTCGCACATAATA